AACGTCGAAACATGTAGTCGTCGACTTTTTGAAGGCCATAGATAGGCCTCAATAAAATGTTTTTAATTGTGTACCAGTTTAGCGTTGAATATTATTTATGATTTTAACTTTATACACAAGTGCCAAAATACTATAATTGTTGTTTATTACATGTAAGAAATGTTTTGAGAGGAAATAAATAAAGCAATAGTAATTACAGACAAGATACAGAACATATAAAAGATACAACTAAATTGGCAAACTGACCAAGTAGAATCACAAGAAAGTATTCAAAGTGAAGTTCAGTGAGAATACACTTGAAATGTTGATGTTCCTTCTAACATTGGGAACACCAACAATCCAAAAGTGGGATGAATAACATAGGTACAAATGTATTAATACACAGAGAAAACAAAGTTTCACTGGTTCTGCCCATTTGGAGTATTGTGTTCAGTCTTGGGTTTCTTACCTTAGGAAGGACATTGAACTGTTGGAAAGGGCTCAAAGGAAGGCTACGAGAATGGTGCCTGGGATGGAGGGGTTTTCATATAAGAAGAGTCAGATAGGATCCGATTGAGGTATTTAAGATTTTAAAGGGAATTCATACTTAATGTTGAAAATATGATTAGGGGACACAAATATACATTTTGGCAGGGTAGGAGTCATCTTCAGCTAAGCGAGTTTTATTTTTTTTAACAGGGTGGTTGGTCTTTGGAATTGATTGCCTTCTGATGTTGTGGAGGCAGTAAATTTAAGCGAGTTTAAGAGATAGCTTGATAACTATATGAATTATAAGGGCTGGCTTTGAGGTTGACTTTTTTTTTTATTTAATAGTTTTAGTTTAGAGGATGGGATAGCCTAGATGGACCAATAGGTCCCTTGTTGTCCCAAAACATTATGTTATGTTAACTGATAAAAATTACTATTTGCAATTTTCTCCATACAGACAGAGTACGTTCCATGTATGTTCAACAGTTTGAGTTAACAAATTTCCATTCCTAGCTGTGTATCCTACTTATAGATAAATACCCAGTTGTGTATTGTTTCACACTACATACATTATACATGAACAGTACCAAACAAGAGTTTTAAACTTTCTCAAATACAATTTTCCAGAGTAATACAGTTTTATGCTTGGAGAATGAATGAATACCAATGTTTCAATATGACTAATTTTTTATAAAAGTTTTTTAGAAAGTTAAAAATTCTGATAGCTTATATAATTTTCAGGTTGTTTTTAATATATTTCTTAAAAATAAAGTTAAATGCAAACTTTATCTCCATGATATTCAGTTATTCCACAAATAATAAAATTCATACATACACTTTAGAAACAAATTACTTCACTTCAGCTACTAGAAACAATTTATCAAACAGGTCAAGACACTGATCTGATAACACTGAGAGACTGAAATTATGAAACTGGCGTACTTAAGCATGAAACCAAAAACATCCACCATTACAAAATACATTTAGCTTGTATTCATTGTAAACTGATGGAATGACAGCATAAGTTCAATGAACTAGTTATTATTTATTCTTCTTTTTATATACATTTGTTTAAATAGCCCACAAATATCTGCCTTTATGCAGCTTGGATGGTCATGGCTAAAGGTGCCTTTTGGTGTAGACCATGTGCTGGATGCTAAGCATTGGAATCACTAACATGGACACCAAACCAGAGGTCATCCCACATAATGGTTACGAGTTCACGTAGTGAATCCAACCATGCATACAAACATGCTTGTCTCTGTAATGGGTCTAGTGTTTTATGTGTGTTATTGAACTATAGTACTTGTGATACTTAGCTGCCAGTGACTAAGAGGTTTGTTTTATGTTGTGCTCGAGAACAAGCCTTACTGATTGAGAAAGTGGCCATATAAGATTCACTCTGAAGTTTATCTGCTTGGAAACTAAGAAGATAAGTTGGTACAGAACACTGATCCGAAAATACTATTACATATTATTTTAACATTCTCATTCATTTGTTGATGAATACTTAACCTTGGTTTCTAGAAACTTATGTATCAAACACACAACATGACAGAGAACTGACAACACTAGGAAACTGATGTCCTGAATAGCATGCACAACACATTTATAACATTAATAACACCAAATGGGTGGCTGACACATTTATTTTAAAAAAATTTAGAGTGCTCAAGCGGGTAAAAATATTTTAATAATAATGCGTGTAACAATGGAATGAGATCTTATTTATATTTTTATGGTAAGGTCAGGCTTAAAAATAGTGTTGCGTTAGCGAGGTCACGTGACTAGTGTCACACCACGTTTCTAGAACTATCCTGTTCCTTCGGGAGTGCTCCAGCATTTGCTAAATTGGGGGTGGTCTGGTATATATAAGATGGTCACGGCGTGACGTGAGAAGGTGTGTAGGTAGTGAGTAATTGATCTGCAGTCAGAGAGCGCGAATGTTGAAATCAAGTGTATTGTAAAGTTATATTCAGAAAGAATAAACCAGTTTTATTAAGTAAGAACTTGTGTCGCTAAAGTTTCGTCGGAACGAAGTTACGGAAAGTTAATTAACAAACGGAGACGTAACAATAGTTTCATTTGCTGTAACCCTAAACTGATTTAAAATATGGGTGGGTAAGTAGGCAGGTAAACACTTTTTATTTTCAAATTGCTTCTTAAAAAAAAAGAAGAAATACCACTAGTTCCATGATCACTTAAAACATAATGCGTTCAACCACGATTACAATTACTATTAACATTTATTTATAAATACCAAATGAGGCCTAGAACTTTCCACATACTACAAGATATTATGATGTATTAATACTCGAGAAAAACTTAGAAGGTTCTAAAACATGATGCAATAATACAACAATCACCAATATACATTTGAACTACATGATGTATGATTTGTACAGTTACAACAAACCTGCAATAAACTATCACTTCTAAAAAAAATTAAGTTTAACACTCGCTATACTTAAATCAAAACAGTCATGTATATCTAACCACGTATATTTTAACCATAATACGGTGGTAAAAATTCTGAGGTCAACAAATTTTGTTAGATGTGTCAGTATATAGGAAGAAATTGGTGAAAATAATAATTTCCCAGGTCATAATATTAGAAAAATCTCCAAGTCGGTCTCAATTTCAAAAGGTTAGTTGAGTTACAGCAAACAGAAATATTTTTAAGCCTGGCCTAACAGAGTAAATATGTGAATAACAATGCATGAAACAAAGAAGCATGATCTTAGTTTTATTTTACTGGTAATACTTGAATAACAACACATGAAAAAAATAATCTTGGTTCACTTTTGCTGGTGTAATGTCTAAATAACAATGCATGAAATAGGACATTGATACTAGTTTGCTAGTAATACCTGAATAACAAGTATGAAACAATGGATTAGGACCTTGGTTCTATTTTGCTGGTAATAGCCAAGTAACAATGCACGGAATAATGGAACAGGATCTTCTTTCTATTTTTCTGGCTTTTGGAAGTTGATGTTATGATTAACAGTTGGGAGATGAAGGCATTTGGATCAAGAAACTAGAGATGAAGTGCCTTACTAAAGATATAAAAAGACAAAATTAGAGATAAATAAACTAAGTTGAAATTGACAAGTTGTAAGGTTAACAGAACTATAGGGAAGCTATGGATTTGGTTCAAAAATAAATGACAATATCAAAATGGCATATGAGGAACAGCTACCAAAAAATATCTTTATACACTTATTAGAGGTAAACAAAATGTTAAAAGTGATAGATTGGACCCCTAAAAGATGATGGCAAAGTTTTTGTTGGAGACTCTGAGATTTTAAATGTTTCCCTCCGTTTTTAGAAGTAAATATATTATCAATATTCTTGACTCTGGACATTCCAAGGAAAATATTACAATTGACCTGAATCATGGAGATATTAATCCATCAGTGATATCTGGAAAGACTGAGAGATTGAAAATGGATAATGCACATGGACAAGACATGGGTTTTAAAGGAGGTGAAAGATCAGACATGTGACCCTCACTTTCATTTTTCATAAGCTATTGAAGGTGAGCAGATGGCATAAAGATTGGAGAGTTGCTATTATTACTCCTATTTCTAAAGGAAAAGGGGTGATAAAGAATTATCTTGAAAATTATAGGCTAATTAGTCTTACTTCTGTTGTGAGAAACATTCAAGGGTCTTTATAAAATCATAGTTAAATGTGAAAGTCTAAACTACTTCAAAGTTAAATCTTGTTTTTTATCATTTTTTTTAGCATGTTACTTGTTATTTAGACAATAGAAATTGTGTGGACCTCCAGCCAAATTGGACCCTTGTTTCTGGAAAAGTGCCTCAGGAATTAGTGCTAGAACTTTTGATATTTTTTTACATTAGTAATATTAATAGAGGTAAAATTTTTAGTAAAGTCTGCTGATTATATTAAATCTTGGGTATTTTTTAGCTATACTGAGGAAGTTGAAGTACTAAAAAATGACTTGGATAAATTGGTAAGTTTGACAGATATTTGAAAATGTCCTTTATTTATAACAAGAGTAGTATGTACTCATAATTTGAACCACATATTTAAAATAGATGAAAGCCCACTCAACAGCTGAAGAAAATGATCTTGGCAGATTAATGGACAAGTTACTCAAACATTCAATATAGTGCTCTGTTTCTAGTAGTATAGCTATATGTTTACAGTCCTACTGAGTAAAAGTAAAAAAAGGTAATTATCTCTATAAAATATTAGTTACATCTCACTTGGAATGCTATGTACAGTTACAATCTCTATGTAAGAAAATGTTAACTTATTAAAAAGGGTTGAGAGGAAGAATACTAGGATGAATCTGGGAAAGAAAAGTAATCTTACATGGAAAATCAACATGTGATCTTATTAAAGATTATTAGAGTTTCTGAGGGATCAGTATGATAAAGGCCCAGGTTTTTTGTGCTGTATTCTGAAAACAAGTTGACAAAGATTGGCTAATTCTATTTTTTTTTCTAAGAAGGTAATTGGCCTATGGAATGAGTCATCATCAGCTGTATAAATGAGCAGTTTTTAAAAAGGATATCATCGATTTCCAGAAACAATAAAAAATATGTTTAAATTATTACTTTGCTCAAGGATGAGTGTGCAAAGACAACTTTGGAGGACCAAATGGTCTCTTGTTTTTTATATTACCTTATTAGTAGTAACAAGCACTAAAATAACAAAAACAACTAATATGGCAGTATACAAATTGCAGAAAAGCTACATTACCTCAGCAAATTATTTTAGATACATATAGATGTTTATAAGTCCTAGTTCAACCACCTAAGCATCACATTTACACTACTGTACAAACCCATACATACATTAGTCCAGTCCTATCGAGAGTAACATGAAACTCAGGTTACTATTCAATGTAATTTGTTGTAATACACATAATCAACAAGTCAGTTTAATGACTGAACAATAAACACCTACAAAAATTCTTCTTAATATACATTTTAAATTTAAATACCATATTGGCCCGATTATAGAGCAATTTCAAATATAAAGCAACCATCATTTTCAGAAACAATGGGTAAGAAAAAAAGTTGAGTGTCATAACATTCTTTTTTTTTTGGGCCGGAAAATCAATATTATAACTGAACAGCCTGCAGGTGGATTAGATTCAAGAATTTATGATGACCTTGAGTGAACATCCGGCATGCATGCACAGACAGATGCTTCCTGGACATTCAGGAATGCAACAGGTTAGAGTAGGGGGAAAGGGTTTGTGTTTGGCCACAATTATTAGGTGACTATGAGTTTTAGAGCCTATTATTAATAAAAAAACATTGTCTTATAATTGGGCCAATACAGCAATTATTTTAAATGCAAGGTACTGTATACATACATTTGAGAAATATTTAAGAATGCTAAAATATGGTACAGGTAAAGTCATAATTGTGAAATACTTCATAAGTAAATATGTTACAAACATTTACAATGCATCCCACTAACTTATTACTGTTAGTAGTATAAAAAAATATAACAGTGGCGTAGCAAGGGTTCTCAGCACCAGGGGGGCAAAGACACTTTTGGCACACCCACCTCTGAAATGTTTTGATTATTTGTTTTGTGACTCATTACCCATTTAATGACAATAACATAAAGAATTAATTACCGCCTTACACAGGCCTAAAATAAAGTCACAATATAACATCTCACGATATCACAACTGTAAACCTGGAACTAATGAGGTATAGCCTACTAGGTGTACTTACATAATTTGTAAACTATTTTGATATTTATTTCATCCAGTATTGTTCAAAGTCACATAGCTAGAGTAATCTTTCAAGCATGCAGAATAAATTTCTGTTATATCCCT